CCAGTGGTTTTTGAGAAGTTTTTAAAAAAAAATTCCAATACTTTTCTATGTAAAACTTTGATTCCCTATTGTGGCCCCGCCCAACCCCCAGGGGTCATGGTTTGAACAATTTAAAATCTACACTATCCCAGGATGCTTCCACATAAGTTTCAGCTTTTCGGGCCCAGTGGTTCTTGAGAAGAAGATTTTAAAAATCTTTTTCCTATATATTTCTATGTAAAACTTTGATTCCCTATTGTAGCCCCACCCAACACCCGAGGGTCATGATTTGAACAATTTGGAATCTACACTACCCCGGGATGCTTTCACATAAGCTTCAGCTTCACTGGCTCAATGTTTCTTGATAAGAAGAATTTTTTAAAGACACCACCCTAATTTTGTCTTTTCTTGATTATTCCCCCCAATGACAGGACTTGGCCCTTTATTTTAACATTATTTACTCCCCTTCATCCAAGGATGCTTTGTACTAAGTTTGGTTAAAATTAGCCCAGTGGTTCTTGAGAAGAAGTCAAAAATGTGAAAAGTTTACAGATGGATGGACAGACAGACGAACGACAGAAAAAATGTGATCAGAAAAGCTCATTTGAGCCTTTGACTAGGTGAGCTAAAAAGTACATCACTATGAACTATAAGGTCCTGAGATGCATCAACTGACAAGATTTGATAATCCTAGTCCTTATAATGGGTAAAATATCTTTAACAAATCATCAATTTAAGTCAGCTATGAAGTAGATTTGGATATATGGCCTTTATTAAAAACTAGATTTTTACTGTGAGCAATGAGCTCACTAAATGGAAATACCCCCCCCCCCCAATGTGGTTATAATGGCAAAGTCCATGTTTTGCTGTGGCCGGGAAACCCAAAATATGTGTCAGATCAAAAAGTAAAATAGGAGATGCACAATCGCAAGATTCTGTGAAAGTTTCATTAAATTTCACTCAGTGGTATAGAAGAGTTACGGATAAGAGATGGATACCCCAAAGCGTTACAGACAGATGGACGAACGTACAGACAAACGGACATACCGATTACAGTATATCCTCCCACTTTTCAAGCTGGGTATAAAAACACACCACATAAATGGCCATAGATGACTTCTCGAAGCCTTCTGCTCAGAAGAGCTAATAATGGTGATATTTCATTTGATAATTTAGGTACCATGATTTGGTACTACATGTTTGGCATACACTATTGATTTCATTGCCTATGAATATGGCAAGAAAAACATAATCTAAATATACTTAAAAGATTAAGTACACTTGTATATTTATTATAAAACAAAATCATTAGATCTCAACAAACAAACAGTGATATGAACTTCATTATAAAGATTCTGTTTACTTTTACATTGATTTTACGTCTATACTGTATACATGAATTCTCACAACAAAATGGTCAAGAACTGTCTGTCCGTCTGTCTGTGCAATCGTGTCCGGTCCATATCTTTCTTACAGAGGGACATTAGAATCTACTACTCCACACAAAGATTGCCCATGACCTAAGGGTGTGTCATGACCTTGACCCAAGGTCATTTGGGGAACTTCAAGGTCACTGGAAGAAAAATTTCATAATTCGTTTCCGGTCCATATCTTTCTGATAAATAAACTTGGTAGGTTGTCATTTCAAACCAAGATTGCCCATGACCCAAGGGTATGTCATGACCTTGACCCAAGGTCATTTGGGAAAGTTCAAGGTCACTGGAAGAAAAATTTCAGAATTCGTGTCCGGTCCATATCTTTCTTATGAATAAACTTGGTAGATTCTCATTTCACACAAAGATTGCCCATGACCAAGGGTCGGTCATGACCTTGACCCAAGGTCATTTGGGGAACTTGAATGTCACTGGAAGAAAAATTTCAGAATTTGTGTCCAGTCCATATCTTTCTTATGGATTAACTTGGTAGGTTCTCATTTCACACAAAGATTGCCCATGACCTAAGGGTGTGTCATGACCTTGACCCAAGGTCATTTGGGGAAGTTCAAGGTCACTGGAAGAAAAATTTCAGAATTTGTGTCTGGTCCATATCTTTCTTATGGATAAACTTGGTAGGTTCTCATTTCACACAAAGATAGCCCATGACCCAAGGATGTGTCATGACCTTGACACAAGGTCATTTGGGGAACTTCAAGGTCATTGGAAGAAAAATTTCATCATTCGTGTTTGGTCCATATCTTTCTTATGGATAAACTTGGTAGGTTCTCATTTCACACAAAGATTGCCCATGACCTAAGGGTGTGTCATGACCTTGACCCCAGGTCATTTTGGGAAGTTCAAGGTCATTGGAATTTGGAAGTAAAATTCATAATTTGTGTCAGGTCCATATCTTTCTTATGGATAAACTTGGTAGTTTCTCATTTCACACAAAGACTGTCCATGACCCAAGGGTGTGTCATGACCTTGACCCAAGGTCATTTGGGGAAGTTCAAGGTCACTGGAAGAAAAAAATCATAATTCTTGTCCTGGCGATATCTTTCTTATGGATAAACTTGGTAGGTTGTCATTTCACACAAACATTGTCCATGACCTAAGGGTGTGTCATGACCTTAACCCAAGGTCATTTGGGGAACTTCAAGGTCACTGGAAGAAAAAATTCATAATTCATGTTTGATACATATCTTTATTATGGAAAAACTTGCTTTTGAAAAACTCAGCGGGGGGTATTTTGTCCCGTTTGGAGAGTTCTAGTTTGTATTTAATCATAAACTACAAGTTACTGTGAGCACTGAAGTTACAACTGACCCCCCCCCCCCCCTTCCTACATAAAGTGTAATGGCAAATTGCATCTCCAGGCAGTAAATGAGATTCTGTAGAAGCTCCATCATTGAATTTCATTTAGGTATTTTATAATGATTTGTGTTAACAGAGTGAATACCTCTCCTCCATTATATCAAAATAAGATGTGCACAATGAAACAATGTAGTATTCTGTTCAAGTTTAAATTATACTTAATGACATAGAGGAGTGGGTATGAAGAATTGTGTGACCCCAGTGGCGGATTAAAGGGGGGCGCACCCGGCGCCCCCCCCCCCCTAAAATTGTCAAAGTTAATGTAAATCACAGAAAATGTTAATATGTCTACTTGGTAGACCTTATTTTTACCCTACAAAATCTCTAGAACCTTGGAGCTTCTGGGGCCTCAAGGCGCCCCCCAGACCCCTTGCCTACTTTTGGCACCCCCTCTAACTTCAATTTCTGGATCCGCGCCTGTACCCCAACATAACAGAGAGAATGGCTTGATCCATGTTTTGCTATGGGAAAACCCTAATATGTTTCTAATCAAAAAGTAAAACAGGAATGCACAATGCCATTATGTAAAGATTTTTTTCCATTGAGTTGCATTTAGTGATGTAGTAATGTAAGAGAAGTTGCAGATAAGGTTAGCTATCCCAAAATGGACAGATTAAAGGTCCGATATGGTGTGATGTACACCTCTGGCCAAATATTTGACAACATTTCTTATATATACTCCGAACATACCGGTACATATATAATACAATTACATCAGTTATTTTCTAGATCTTGACCTTAAGAAGGGATAATTATACATTAAAGAAAATAATCTCAAGTTTTGTAATTTTTCATGTTGAGGGGGTGGGGGCAAGGAACGTAAAATTTTAAAACCAACCCAGTTTCAACACGGACATATTATGCACGTGAAGAATTTTGTAAAGAATTTTGCTCACCATTATTAGGCTGACATTAAAAGCTTGATCTAATTTCATTTTTATTTAATTGGAGAATATATTACGCAGTTTATTACAGGTTCAATCAGTTTATTCTATACCTCAATGGTCTTTGGTTCTACGGCCGATCGCCGCTCTTTATTGAGGTGAATATTTAGCAGTTAGTGGACCACATGCGCTGCACTCAAAAATTAGTTGATGTGAACTTCGTTTTTTCCCTCTGAATACATGTAATACATGCATATCGATGCCCCAGTTATTGTAATTAGCAGTACTTAACATTAACCATTGTCATGGTTAGCCAAAATATATAATAGTGCGAATCAAACTGAGAATATGAAGAACATTGCAGAAACTGGAACTAGATATTAATTATAGGCCTACATCAATACGGTCTTCAACTGAACTAATCTTTTGAAACATGGTGGAAATAATAAGACCCAGTTACATTTATAACATAGGTATAAAAGAAGGGAGGGATTGAGAACTGAAAACGGCCAGCAGAAAGGTAAGTTGCTGTTTTTTTAAGTCCTTTGAACCTTTGTCAGAAAAGAACAGTAACTCTCAAAGATGAAATAAGTGACTTCGATTTTCTTTGATAGGAACTTCTTGTCAAATATTATACTACAAAGTAAGTCAAAATTGTTGCCATTTCAATTATGATTTAAATTTCTCGAATAAAATTTATTGAAGCAAGCAAATTGTTATATGAATGAACAGAAAGATGATAAACTTTAAAAAGAAAGTTCTTGATGAAAAACGGCAGGTCGTCGCAGGTTTGACCGGTCAACAGGGGATGTTTACTCCTCTTAGGCACCTGATCTCACTTCTTAAATTTCAGGTGGTCCGTGTTTTATGTTTTCTCTAAACTTAACATATTTATATTGTTTTTGGATTTTTGAAATCGATTACTCTTCATTATCATCACCTTTTACGTAAAAGGTTCAAATACTATTATACTACAAGTGTATTTTGATCCAAAACATGAATATAAAATTTACTTTACATCAATAATTTTCAAAATTTATGCGTGTTTTTCGAGTCTCAAATACATGAAAAAGGGATAAACCCATAAGGGTAATGCCCGTTTTGTAACCAAAAGTCACAAATTCTATGAGGGGTATCGATATACATTTATTGTAGCCTTATAATACCGGTATATTACTTTACTTTTAAAAGACAGCAAAAAGGACGGCATAATCGCCATTTTAAAATGCTTATAAATACATGAAATGGATGACAAACATTGGTTTATGACACTTTGAAAAAAAAAAGATTTACACAGTACTTTTAATGAAAATTTTAAGTCATAAAGATGGAGGTGTTGCGGCTGTTGCTGTCTTTGGTTTGTGTCGTCCTGATGAGAGTACATTCTGAGACCATTCCTGTAGATCAGTATAAACAGCAGCTTCTAGACGTACACAATGCCTACAGGGCCCAGCAAGGTGCAGCTGATATGCAGGCTTTGGTGAGTACTAATAAATACATAATTAAATCTACGGAGAAAAAAATCATAACGATAACCTTGATTAACATGCATTTTTAAATAGGTGTGGGATGACACACTCAGTAAAGAGGCGGGAAGTTGGATAAAGAGATGCAATTTCAAACACGAGATGAAAGGAAGGGGAGAAAATCTGGCTTTTGATTCCAATCCTAAGAAGACTGAGGAATTGATCAATAGTTCCATAAAGGCCTGGTATGATGAAATCAAGGACTATAACTATAATAGGAAATCCTGTGCGCCGAGAAGTTGTCATTATACGCAGGTTAGAATAGCCTTAATTTTGGCGAAATTTGTCTGTAATAAAAATTTTGCAGTTTATGGACGGGATCGTAGGAACCGGGGAGGGAGAGATCCTAATTCAAAATATATGTCTTTTTTATGACATATTTTGAAAAGATTAGGGAAAAGAGATTGAGATTTTTAAAATGTAGTTTGCGATGATGCAAGTCTTTCCTCTACCCTTTACAACATTTAGGTATTTTCAAAGTAAGGAAGCTCTACAAAGTCTTTAATACTTCGTATTGTAGGTTGTCTGGGCTAAAACAAGAAAAGTTGGATGTGCCATGGAGAAATGTAACTATCTTCAAGCATTTGGAAGACCTGTGAAGAATGCGTGGTATCTTGCTTGTTACTACGATCCCAAGTAAGTCAAACGTCCGTATTGCAAAGGTTCTGGGATAAAAATCTTGTCCTGTACCTTTTGGGAATACTTTCTATAGGCATAAGTACCCCCGGTACAAAAATAAAATTTATTTTTTTTCTCACATGCATCCTTGAATGTAATTCAGCATGAAATTTGTATGCAAATGTAACGTAACCACATTAGGAATTTTTGTTAAAACTTGATTTTCAATGGATATATCAAATATTCTAAACTAGACAACATTTGTATTAAGGGGAAATGATATATCGGAGTATCCATTTGAGAAAGGCGCAGCTTGCTCTAAGTGTCTTCAAAAACAAACCTGCGAAAATAAACTTTGTACAGGTAAGAATTTCATAAGTATAGTATCTCAAGCTATTAGAGACTGACTTTTGCAAATTGTACAGTTGAAAACTCTGTTGATTGTTCTAAAAGGCGAAGGTGTTGAAGTCTGCGAAGATAACGACAAAGATTGTGAATTCTGGGCCACTTCCGGTGAATGTAAGAGGAACCCTAAATTCATGAACAAGAAGTGCAGAAAAGCATGTGGTATCTGTAAAGGAGCTTGAAGTAAGTGGAGAAGTAATCTTTTAACAAGTAAATATTTCTTGAAGTTCTTGTGCTAAATATTTTTAACACTTGATTGATCGTTTTAATCCTGGCATTCTATCATTGTAGGTAAAAATCGGATTCATCCAAAATAAGGACAAAGAAAAACAAAGGAACGTCAAAAATGATTGCTTGTATTTTTATTTACTTCTCTCACCATGCCAGTTTTTGTTGCTTGAATTCTTTGATAGCAAATAAATAGTTGCAAAGCATAAAATTAATTTTTTATTGTCAATATGTCGTCAAATCTGTACATCAATATATTCAAGAAGTGGTTTAAATCAGATGTGGATACATAAAAACTCCAGGAAAATTTTAAATCGCAAAATTTTACAAAAGTCAATATGACAAAACAATTTTTTTTAGAAAATTTTAAATCACAAAATTTTACCAAAGTCAACACGACAAAACAAAACATATCAAAACATAAGACATTTTAACTCTTATACACCTTTTTATCAACCACAACACTGTATACATCATTCCTCCAATTACATAAAGTCCTGACTTTTTGGCATCATAGACAGTTGTTTTTAATAAGAATGGGACTCGTAATTTTAACTCATCTTGTCATTGGTCATTTGCAAAATAATTTTGCTAAAAACATTCTATAGATACTCAAGTACTTCGAAGTTGAAACAAAAACAAGTTTCTGTTTGACAATATATCTAGATCTGCTATTGTTTTTTAAGATCAGTTCTTCTATTATTGAAAGTCCTATGAGTAACAATTGCGCCCTGTCAATAGCATGCCTATTTTTTAACGCAGCAGAATTTATTCAAAAACTTATACACGAGAAGAAGAAACACTTGCCGTGGCTTTCTACACGACATCGAGATACATAGACGACGAGTTATCAATGATTACTTCCACTCAAATGTCGACTCGATAAATCCTAGTGAACCTGAAATAAGATTCCCCAGAGTCTGACCTATCTGTTGCATATTTGGATATTTTACAAGAAAAGGCGTTATTGATTACCTACATTTACACTTTATGATATATGTGATGACTTTTAAAAAAGTTTTTGCTAAAGGTCAACATGTCCAAAAATGTATTTTTACAATAGCTCCAAAACTATGTAGTTTATAAAGTTAAAGTTTTTACAGTTTATAAATAAATAATTGATCAACAGATAGAAATTATCACTTGATAACAAATAAGAAAAAAATATTTATCGAGAAAAAAATTCTTTTTAAAAAATGCATTCTTTAAAAAAATACACCTCATTTATTCTGTGATTTTACTGAAAGTCATCATTGTAGAAACAATAAATGTTTATCAATGAAGGACAAGTTGGACTTCGATAGCCTCTGGTAAGTTGTTTTCCCTATCTATTTTGTCCAAATGTTTAGACTTGAAACCGAAAGTAAATTGCAAATGGCGGATTTTATAGGGGTCTTGTCTTTATACATGTCATGCTTTCAATTAGAGCCTTTCAGAGACCATTCACGTCCAACTTTCCCTTCATTGATAAACATATAATATTTCTGCAATTATGGTTTTTACAAAAGGACGAAATTAAGCAGGTGCTTTGTTTTCAAATGATACTTTCTATCTGTTAATCACTGATATATTTATAAACTGTAAAGGTTTTAACTTTAATAAAGATAAATTGTTGGACATGTTAATTGGCCTTTGACGAAACCTTAAACCTTTCTATCTTCCTATATATATTTACATTTCCAATGTCTCTGTCCGAGATAAAAATACAAACTGTAAATGTACTTTATTTCCCCATCAATGTATTGGCGCTGTTCCAAAAAACCACGTGCAGGGCGGGACAAACAGCTAGACAGAAGCAGGGCTTGGAACACGTGGATTGGCGGAATCTAAGCATGTAAATACGAGGGTTGTTCGAAAAGTTCGTGGACAACTGTCATATCTTTTTTATTTGACGTCATATGTTATCCAAATTTGGTAAAAATATTTTGACAATAAATCCAAATGATATGTATTAATTTTGACAAAATATTATGATTGATTAAAAAGTTATCCAGATTTTGAAAATGCAAAAATAGGATCGCGGAGCAGGTCAAATTTTAGTCAGTTACAGACAATACAATAAGTAATGTCGATAGTCATGTTCTCTGTAACATGGAGGGAAAACGAAAAACTACCTAGAAATTCAAATGAAGAATTGTTACATCGATACTTGTACCAAATAATGGTTTTATATTTTGCTTTGTTGAAAAGAAATAAACGTGAGAAGATAAGTAGTCCTTATTGAAGACGACAAAAACGATGACGTTTTAGAACGTCACGGAGCAGCAGATACCGAAGCAATTTTGTGTTTTTCTCAGAAAAAATCCTGAATAAACTCTAAAAATGTTGAAGGAATTAAGAAAATATGTCACAAGCGAGTTGTGCATGTGTGTACAAATAGTACAAGCAATATTTGAGTGACAGAGACTCTGTATCGGATGAGGATGACCTGTGAAGAAACGGTTTTACTGTAAACATCTGAAAAAAAACTTTAAAATTTGAAACGTAAATGAAAGACAAAGGCGCTTCAGAGTTTATTATCCTGTGAAAGCAGAGTTAGGACTAAAAGAAATTAAAACCTTAACAAAGGAAATTATACACTGAGATCAATTCTTAAAAAATAAATGTCAAGTATTAGAAAAAGAATTGAATGAATGGGCATTGGACTATTCTGTGTGAAATGTAAAGGTATAGTATCTATTATGAATTCTCGACGCTATGTGTTGACGTTACATTGCCGTTTTGTGTGCTCCGCGGGTACAAAACATGTTGATTTTAAAATGGAGTAAATTTATTTGTGTTAAATCGAATGGAATGAAACTTCACACATAAACATAACAAATATTTTTATATATTACAATGTGCTTGTTTTAAATTTCCAGTGAGTAATATAACGAAGATAGGCATCGTCCACGAACTTTTCGAACAACCCTCGTATAAGGAATAACTGTCAGATTTTTCAATTTCATGACGATGATCAATCGATTGGCTTGCGTGATAGTTTTATGCATAAACGCCTTCGGCGTTTCTGCAAACTATCGAGCAACCCAATCGATTGATCACATCATGAAATCGAAAAATAAGACAGTTATTCCTAAGTATAACATATTCTGCATATGTGATTTATTATCCCCCAACTGATTCGATACGCAAAAGCATGATCTACGTATGAACAATTTAATTCTGAAACAAGGCAAGATATTGATATATACAAGTTGAAGAAATGAGGATATCAACAGTTTCATTTAAAGTCAACATTTTGCAATTTCTTAGGTCAATACAATGACCATTTTACCAAAAAAACATTATACATATCATTAAGTTGGATGATGATCGACGTTTTTTCATGCCAATTGTTAGGTCCCTTTTTTCTCTCACTAAGTTGTAGACGGATTTTTCCGTTTGTCTGATCATGACAAGGAAGCTCTATCAATGGGTGTGACCATTGGATAGAGGACTTACTCCTCCATGGCACCTGATTCCACCTCTGATGTTTTTAGAGGTCCTTGTTTGCTCTGCTCCCACTTTGTACAGTTTTAATATAAACTATATTACTGTCCAGACTACATCGTATATTTTTTTCTATATTAATAGTTTTCTCAGATCATATGTAAATTTAAATGCAATGCTTAAAACTGCAGTTAGATTTGAAAGCACTAAGTTAAAAAGGTAAAGATAATAGTGATCGATCTAAAAGAAAAATCTACAATATCAAAAGTCTCGTTAAAAATCATCATTTCGTACGTTCTATGATCGATACAATGACCTTGTCAGCAAATACCATTTATCATTAAATCAAATGCTCCATTATTTACCTATCATGACAAGCAGCACACGGCGGGTGTGACCGGTCGGCAGGGGATGCTTACTCCTCCATGGCACCGGTTCCCAACTCTGATGCTTTGGAGTTTCGTGTTTGCTTTGCTCCTATTTTGTATTATTTTAAAGACTTTTGATTTTGAATACTGTTCGTTATCTTCATATGTTTTACTACAAAAATAACAAATTTGTTAATAGGACATAAAACTAGACCCCCGAAAAAAAAATCCAGCGTTGGGATCCGGTGTCTAGGAGGAAAAAGCATTCCCTATTGTAGGGTCACGCTCTATGCATTGATCAAGTATATACTGAACAATCTTTAATCAAATTTTTAAGTTCTCAGATTTGACATGAAACACATCAGCCAATGTACTGTCATGTTCTAAATTTTGAATTTACCGGGTGGGAGTAAATACAATCCCACCCGGTAAATTCAAAATTTAGAACATGACAGTACGACCCAATGAATAAATTATGCTATAAAGGAATATAACAATAGGTCGGCTGATAAAGAGGTCCGTCTTATTATTGGAATTAGAACTTTAGCAGCTTGTTGGAAGTCTGAAGACTATATAAATGTTGTCAATGAGGAACTCAAGAATCCTCTTAATATCAATTTCGTATTATTTCTTTCTTTCAAACAGTTTTCTGTGCCCAAACTCTTCGTTGAAAAGATATATAAACATATATAGATTTTAGCACCAATTTCACTCGTTAATTTCCTCTTTGTCTTTACGAGATTTCACGAAAAATAAATTTAAGTACTACTGAGCCTCAATAATCCTGACTCTTATAATCCAGACTCTTTACTACTGACAAAATTTGTTGATAACACAATATACCTTTATTTTCCTTTTCAAAAAGATATAACAGCCTACTGAATTCAAATATAAATATTTTTGAAAGCATATATTCTTGACGAATCCCTGCATTCTTTCTTTGTAAGTTTTAGTAAAAATTCAAATGTCCAGTATCAATGGATAGGAATAGAAACATATGATACAAAAATCTAGTGTCTTTTTCACATTTGATTGATTTAAGGTGCGAAAGAGGTTTTTTTTGTATGCACAAGAAGTTTTGTAAAGTAACTCCAACATTGTCAATTCTTCTAATTTCTTTCTTATATTAATTTAGGGGAAAATTCTTACATGATTCTACATATGACACTAAAATCATACTTAGATTCAAAGCACAAGCGCCTGTGATTCAAAAAGCCTTGGCAGTAACCCACTAAAAATTGTGGCCTCTTTTTGTTTCTTTGTATCATGTGTGCAATAGATTTTCTTTACGGCATTAATGCACTGAAATCGAAACATGTTAAGATTTTCTATCCTTTTTCATCTTTTTCATATCAAATTCTCAAAGAAGCATAGAATGTAGAAGTGATAAACTGTAAATGTTATAATTTTCCAT